TCAGACAGAGAAGATAAACACGGTATAATCTCTCTTATATGTGAAATCTAAAACAAAAACAAACCAGAAACAAAACAAACACATAGATACAGAGAACAGACTAGTGGTGAGATGGAGGTGGGGAAAAATGGGTGAATTCTTTTCTTCTCTTTCTCTTTTTTTTTTTTCAGTTTAAGTACCTTGAACAAAAATTTTATCCAAAAATTCCTAAGTCCAGGCCTGTGGGACACAGGCATCAGTGTTTTTGTCATTCCCCAGTGATTCCAATGTGCAGACAAATTTGGGAATCACTGTCCAGTTATAAAGGGATTCTATGGGTTGTGTTGTCCCTGAAATATTACTACTTGAAATAAGACTGGCAGGGCCGCCTGGGTGGCTCAGTCAGTTAAAAGCGACTGCCTTCAGCTCAGGTCATGGTCTCAGGGTCCTGGGATGGAGCCCCACAGCAGGCACCCTGCTCAGTGGGAAAGCTGTTCCTTCCTCTGCCTCTGCCTTTCCCCCTGCTTGTGCTCTCCTTCTCTCAAATAAATAAATAAAATCTTAAAAAAAAAAAAAACTGTGTGGGGGTGTGCGTGGCGGGGGGTGGCTTGGCAGATAATCATCTTTGTTAGAAAAGGAAGATTTTCCAGACTTTCTCCTAGTCCAGGTAAACCATGCTGTCCTTGGAGGCTGTTTCCAAACAGGTCCTTTTAGAACAGCTAGGTTTAGGAACGGCTAGATCTGAAAATATCTGGAAGCCTTAAGGTACTGCTACCTGTTGGAGAGTCTGTGTTATATGAATGGAGGTCTCAGTGTTTGGATTCCCCACAGAAGGTACGTGAGGATCCACACTCAAAGAAGGTAGCAGGCTCCTGGGATCGAGTCCCGCATCGGGCTCTCTGCTCAGCAGGGAGCCTGCCTCTTTCTTCTCTCTCTCTCTGCCTGCCTCTCTGCCTACTTGTGATCTGTCAAATAAATAAATAAATAAATAAATAAAAGAAGGTAGCAGGCACAAAGCTGTTTATGAGGGACGCTGTCAAGAAGGGAGTGTGGGCAGGCCCAGAGGAGGCAACTGCACAGGGATTCAGGGCGTCTTTTTCTTTTTATGTTTGCATAGGTTATTGGTCACAGCTAGGGCAGTCTCTGACTGAAGTTGTTTCAAATCATCTTAAGGGATGACTTCAATTGGTTGGGAGGGGTAGTGTTTGGCCCTATGAGGTTCCTGCTGGAACTGTCATGGCCGTCTTCCCCTACAGCGATGATGTAAATATAGGACAATGAAGCTATAGGTTACCCAAGGGCAGAGGTGGAAGAGGAGAGGGCTTGCTCTGCACCCGTGGCTCTTGGCCTGTTGGTCTTGGAAGGCACAAAGCCGGGTTGTGGTGTCCCCAGCCTTCTAATGTGCGATGTTGTGCCCCTAGGCTTCTAATGTGTAACCTCTTTATCACCATCCTTGCTTCCAGCTCACTTCTAATTAACTGCCTACTCTAACGATAACATTTAAAATAGGCATCCCATTCTTTTTTTTTCTTAAGGAGCATTCTAATTTAATTTTGAGTAAACTAGGTTTAGAGAGATCAGAAGTTCCCCTTTATGGCCATTGTTGTTCTTAATTACTTTTGGTTAAGTCAATCCATTTAGTTATAAAAGCGCAAGCAGAGGGACCATAGTTTTGTGTTTTTTTTTGTGGGTTTTTTTTTTTAAGATTTTATTTATTTATTTGTCAGAGTGAGCACAGGCAGACAGAGTGGCAGGCAGAGGCAGATGGAGAAGCAGGCTCCCGCCGAGCAAGGAGCCCGATGTGGGACTCGATCCCAGGACGCTGGGATCATGACCTGAGCCGAAGGCAGCGGCTCAACCGACTGAGCCACCCAGGTGCCCCAGGACCACAGTTTTTAAACATAAAACCAGCCAGAGTCCCAGTAAGGGCATGCCAGAGGTGGGGGGGAGGGGGCAGTGGGGGTGGCAAACCCTCAGAGCATTTTGATGACTGCGATCCCATTTTGTAGAGGTTTTTCTCTAGGGCAAAGAGAAAAAATCCTGAACAGCACAGTTGCATCAGAAACAGCCCGATTCCAGAAGGAATCAGACTAAAGGCCAACCCAGTTCCAGTAGGAACAGTCTGGTTCCAAACAGGAGTCTGATGGAAGGCTAGTGCTGCTCCAAGAGGCACAGCTCCAACAGGAACAGGAACAGTCCCCAAAAGAAGTCTGACAAAAAGCCAAATGAGCACTCTCAGAGAACAAAAAAACAAACAGCGAGGCCTTTCAAAACATCCTAATAAAGCCTGGAGAGTGCCACACAAAGTACAGAGTTCAAAATCCAAGAGAAAACTTACCTCAAACTCCAGGGTCAGCCAGAAAGCAGTAGGTGCCCAGCTGACTCTGTGGCCGTGCTGGCATGTCTGTTCACCAGCCTTGGAGTTGGTGGGAGTCTTCTTAGCATTCCACTTCTAATCACCAAGTAACATTAACATTAAAAAATAAAACTGTCATTTTGCCAGCAAAAATGGGTTAATTTGGGAATAGCAGAGAATCACCACCCAGAGGATGCACTCTTCTACAGAACATCAGGTAAGTCACCCCCACAGAAGAGAGGAATGCTCTTTTCTAGAGGAAAAGGGGAAGTTGGGAAGATATACACAGAAAGCCCACTAGAGTAGACTGGGAGTTCAAAGTAGAACGGCCATGACAGTTCCAGCAACAACCTTATAGGTCCAATGGCTTTTCATTGGCTGAGTTCTTGCCGTCTCTCATTGGCTGGGCTGTTACCAGGGCAGGAGAAAAGCCTTTCTTCCTCCTGCTGGAATAATAAAGCAGTATCCCTGTGCAAAGTCGTTCTCTCCCCTTGCGTCTGTAACTGATAAGTAATAGGGCATGAGAGCTCACCCTGAGGGCCTCCCAACTCCATTCCAAAGGAGATTTCTTTTATCTTTTTTTTTTTTTCTTAAAGATTTTATTTACTTATTTGACAGAGAGATAGAATGCAGAAGTAGGCAGAGTGGCAGGTAGAGGGAGAGGAAGCAGCAGGCTCTCTGCAGAGCAGGGAGCCCGATGCAGACTCGATCCCAGGATCCTGGGATCCTGGCAGCCACTTAACTGACTGAGCCACCCAGGCGCCCCTATTTTTTTTTTTTTTTTAAGCAGATTTCCTTTTTTAAATTTTCACAGGGCATACTCTAATCTCTGCCCTTGTAGGAAGAACTCTTTAAAAAGGTTAGGTATAGGTACTGGAGAACCAGCCAACACACCCAGAAGAGAAAAACATGGTTTTAGAGTCATTGTGTAACAGTGAAAGTAGTTGCAATAAACATTACAATTTTCTGGCTTCCGATTCAAATTCAGTTTTACAGACTTTCCCATTACCTTCCTTCGATTTATACCTGGTCTCTTTAACACTGAAAACTGGGGCTCCTCACAACATTAACATAAGTACTTTTTTTTTCACTCCTACTTTTCATCAAATAATTTCAAAATAATACTGTGCATATTGACAATAAATCTACTAAATGATGTTTAAGATTTCTTTGCAGTTTTATTTGTCGTTAGAGTATGTTCCACGGTGCAATCTGAACTGCACGTATTACAAAAAGTTTGCAATAAGGGCACCCATGCTGACCAGTAAAAAACTTGCCCGGCAAGCTGTTTTGGTGTTGATATGATAGCCCACACAGCACCAGCAAGCAAAACGCATTTTTTTTTTTTCCTGGAGCCTTGAAAGTCAACTTTGCTGTCTATCCTCGGAGACAGAAGAGCCTTGTGAGGACTCGGACCGAGTTGTCGGAGGTTACTCCCACCCTCACTAGACTCCTAAGGGTCTCCTCCTTAAGATTCTCATCTTCCCTCTCTCCTTGAAAAAACCCGGAAATGTGGGTTTTCTGAAGTACAGGTCTGGATCAGATTCAGCTCATTACGTGAACCTGAAGCGTGGCCGGGGCACAAGGGAGCAAGGACACTTGGCTCAGAGGGTCCCAAACAGACCAGGGTTGGCCATTCACCGCTCACAAAATCCAAAGGCAGAGAGAGGAGCTGTGGTGAAACCGAAGAGGAATTGATTTCAGGGAGGCCAACACCGGGAAGACAGCCGACTAATGTGTCAAAGACTGTCTTCAAAGTGCCAAAAATACTTCCAGGTTTGTATAACGAAAGTGTAGGATAAAGGTCGGTGGGTATTAAAGATGGGCAGTGAAGGTCAAACCAACCATTGTCTTGAGGTCAGGGGTCTTTCCGTGGCCTGAGTTCACAGATAAGCTAGAATGAACTTAAGCAGAAAGTTGAAAGACAAAAGTAGTAGTCGCAGTCCTCTTTCAGAAGTTGAGAGTAAGTGCAATTGACCCTGGGAAAAGTGTAGCGTGAGTGGGTGCAGAAATCCGGGTAACACAGACCTGTAAAAGCAGGTGGACCCCGAAAGCTCAGAGGAAGGGGAACCGGCTGGAGTCAGCCTGAGTCTAGAAAAGGAGAAAAGGTATAAATACTTGGAGGAGCCAAGTATCACAAGTATCAATATCACTTGGAGGAGCCACTGCGGTGCTCCCAGAGGTTAGTTCCCGTAAAGCTGAGAGCGATGAGTTCCCAGAGCCCTAAAGGGACATACGCCGCATTCGGGACTCTTGCTGGCCACTTACAGGGGTGCCCAGCACCGAGCCGGAGGGCCTGGCCTGGAGGAGGATCCTCGTGCAATTAGGTGGGCTGTGAACTTGAGAGGCTGAGGCGGCCCTGCGGGGGATGAACGTGCGGCAGTGCGGGGAGGAGTGCGGGTGGCGGTGGTAGAACGACGGCAGGCCTAGAACTGGGCTAGGATTCCGGGTGGAGGCCGCGCCCCCGGACCCCCTAGGTGCAGCCCCTTCCCGCAGACTGAGACCGCGCAGGCGCCTCCGCGCCCGCCCCCTGGAGGCCGGAGAAAGTGGCGCCCGGCAGTCGCCGCCGAAGCTTTCGGTTCCCGCCCCTCCGGTCGCGCCTCCGCCTACTCCAACCGCGGCCGCCTCCCCCCCCACCCCGTGCCTTTCTCGGGTCCCAGCGCGAGCGGTCGCGGGTCGCCGGCATGCAGGGTGGCAGCGGCAAGGACAGCGGCCTGGGCCGCGCGGTGTGCGTGCTGACCGGCGCCTCCCGTGGCTTCGGCCGGGCTTTGGCACCGCTCCTGGCCCGGCTGCTGTCGCCCGGCTCCGTGATGGTCCTAAGCGCCCGCAACGACGAGGCGCTCCGGCAGCTGGAGGCGGAGCTGGACGCCGCACGGCCCGGGCTGCGCGTGGTGCGGGTGCCCGCCGACCTGGGCGTCCAGGCCGATTTGCAGCGACTGCTCGGCGCCGTGCGCGAGCTGCCCAGGCCGGAGGGGCTGCAGCAGGTGCTGCTTATCAACAACGCGGGTAAGGCCCCAGCCGGCGGCGGCGGAGGAGGACTCCCCGTGGGGCCCCGGGAATACGCTTAGCGCCCCGTCTCTTCTCCCTCTTTCTCACTTTGCCCACCGCTAGGAACTTTGAAGGTGATGACTCTTTTAGGAGTCAGAAAAGATGCCTTAAATTCCGAGTTGTTTCGGTGAGGTATGGACGGAGACTCGCGACCTTCGGTGCGGCTCCTTCTTCCGCCACACCCCCTCCCCCACCCTTTTCCTATTCCTGGGCAAATTTTCCAAAATGCCTGTAGAACTTTCCCGATCGCCTTGCTCCGCGCCCTCTGGCGGAGGCCTGAGCCAGAGCATGAGGTCTTCCTGCAGAAGTAAATTATCCTCTTTTCCAAATGGCGCCCTGAGTTCTCCCCCCAGGCCCAGAGCAGGGCATGCGAACTTTAAGTTTCCAACTTGGGATGAGTGAGCAAGCCCAGGTGTGTCTGTTTGCAGAGCTGGGAAGAGGAAGGCGTCTTCAGAAGCACTAGAGAGACCCTTCTAGGTTTGGATGGGAAGGAAGTGTCTAGAATTTAGAGAGGGCTGGGGGAAAAGAAAATCCATCAGCAAAGAGTTATTCTTAAGGTCTGGTTTTTCAGGCACTCTTGGGGATGTGTCCAAAGGCCTCGTCGACTTGGCGGACCCCGCTGAAGTGAACAACTATTGGGCTCTCAACTTGACCTCCATGCTCTGCCTGACTTCCAGCATCCTGAAGGCCTTTCCGGACAGCCCTGGCCTCAGCAGGACAGTGGTTAACGTCTCGTCCCTCTGTGCTCTGCAGCCCTTCAAGGGCTGGGGATTGTACTGTTCGGGGAAGGCTGCCCGTGACATGATGTTCCAGGTTCTAGCCGCAGAGGAACCTGGTGTGAGGGTGCTGAGCTACGCCCCAGGTAGGTGGGACGTTACTGCCATCACTGTCACCCAGAACCGGCTGCTTCCTCCCTGGGGGGTGGGGAAAGGGGTTTCCTAGTCTGTTCCCTCCAAGAAAGAACCCACAGAGTATATTGTCCCTGAATCATTAACCATCACACCTTTAGGGAAATACAGGCTCCAGGAGTTAGAGCCGGCTGCTATAGGGAGTGTAGTTTAGAGATAAAGGGACAGACTGGGGAGTTGGCCGGTCTGGAGGGCGGGGCCAGAAAGTCTGAGATACTAGAGTGGAGAGACAATGAGACTTTGAACTTCAGCCCTGTATCCTCTTTCCTTATGTGAAACCCAGAAGATGCTACCTGCCTACAAGGCAGTTTGGAGGACTGGTTGAGGTAATATATATGATCCCTAGCTGTGAAGTGCTATCTGACTTTAGCCCTTCTAAATCTTAGAACTTATCATACCATATTCTCTTCATGTCTATACTTTCTCCTAATAGGAAAGCCTTGAAGGCAGGAACTTTGCACTGTGCACTTCTGTGTCCCCAGCACCTAGCAAAGCGCCTCACTGTGTCAGTCTTCAGTAAATGTTAGTTGAAGGAAGAGCAGTAAGGGGTCTTGTGACACGTGGTCTGGTTTCTCACCACCCTGCCATGATGCAACTGTGCCCCCAGTCTGGAAAGAGGCTTCGATACTGGCTTGAGGCTGGTAGAAATAGAAGGTGGTCACAAAGCTGTTGTACAATGTCTGAGTGATTTAGACAGAGATCCAATAGTCTATTCCCCTTGGAACCTGGGGACAAAGAGGTAGAAAGATGTGACCAAAGCCCAGTGTGGCAGAGCCATTTACTTCCCCATACTCTCTAGTACCCAATCCTTCCTTCCTCCCTAACACAGACACTATTATTCTTGTAGTCATCATTGAACGCAGCACCCCTCTGGGCTCAGCCTCAGACTCACTCAATCAAGTGGGCCAGTAAAAACCACAGCCAGGTGTGGAGCCAATTCCAGAATGTCATTTGGTTGGGTTGGGTCTTAGGGAGTCCTGAGATGACTCAACATCTGCAAATCAATCAGTATAATATACCACATTAATAAAATGAAGTATAAAAATCATATCATCTCAATAGATGTAGAAAAAGTATTTGACAAAATTTAATGTCGATTTATGAAAAAAAAACTCAAAAAAGTGGGTATAGAGGGAATGTGTTCAACATAATAAAACCCACAGATGACAAGCCCATAGCTAACAGCATATGCAGTGATCAGAAGCTTAAAAAAAAAAAAAAAAAAAAACCTTTCCCTCTAAGATCAGGAACAAGACAAGGGAACCACTCTCACCACTTTTATTTAACATAGTACTGGAAGTCCTAGCCAGAGCAATTAGGCAAGAAAAAGAAATAAAAGACATCCAGATTGGAAGGGAAGGGGTAAAACTGTCTATTTGCAGATGACATATTATATATAGGAAACTCAAAAGATTCCACCAAAAAAAAAAAATTAGGACTAATAAATTTAGTAAAGTTGTAGCATACAAAATAACATACAAAAATCAGCTGCATTTCTATACACTAATAATGATCTATCAGAGAAATTAAGAAAACAGTCCCATTTACAATTGCATCAAAAAAAATAAAATAGGAATAACTTTAACCAAGGAGATGAAAAACTTGTACACTGGCAACTATAAAACATTGATGAAAGAAATTCAGGGAGATACAAATAAATGGAAAGACATTCTGTGCTCATGGATTGGAAGAATTAATATTACTGAACTGTCCATACTACCCAAATCAGTCTGCAGATTCAGTGCAATCCCTTTCAAAACTCCAATGGCATTTTTCATAGAAATAGAACAAACAATCCTAAAATTTGTTTGGAACCACAAAAGACCCCAAATAACCAAAGCAATCTTGAGAAAGGAAAACAAACCTGGAAGCATCACACTCCCTGATTTCAACCCATTATTACCAAGGAATAGTAATGAAAACACTGTGGTATTGGCATAAAAACATGCAACTTACCGGCCTGGTGTCTTTATTTATTTTTTTTTTTTTGAAGGTCAAGCAAAGCTTTATTTCCACTGGCCTGGTGTCTTAAAGAAGAACTTTGGGGGGCGCCTGGGTGGCTCAGTGGGTTGAAGCCTCTGCCTTCGGCTCGGGTCGTGATCCCGGGGTCCTGGGATCGAGCCCCGCGTCAGGCTCTCTGCTCCACAGGGAGCCTGCTTCCTTCTCTCTCTCTCTGCCTGCCTCTCTGCCTACTTGTGATCTCTGCCTGTCGAGTAAATAAATAAATAAATCTTTAAAAAAAAAAAAAAAAAAGAAGATAACTTTGGGTAAAATTTTGTAGTGACCTATTAGCTCCATGAACTTGGATGTACAAATCTTTCCCCAGATTTGGGAAGTTCTCAGCCATCATTTCTCTGGGATTCCAATAATGTATAAATTGCCTCTTCTGATGGTAACCCCCAAGTCATCTTTACTCTTTTGTTCTTTTTTCTTTTTGCTCTTCTGACTGGATAATCTCTAATGAGCTGTCTTTTGATTCACTAATTTCTTTCTTCTGCTTGGTTGAGTCTGCTATTGACTTCTCTTGAATTCTTTAGTCATTTTATTCTTCAACTCTGGGATTTTGGTTTCTTTAGTTTTTTTTTTTTTTAAGTTGTTTCTATTTCTTCGTTGAACTCATTTTGTACATGATTGTTTCATAATTTCATTTAGTTGTCTATCTGTATTTTCTTTTTTTGTTTTTTGAAGATTTTATGTATTTATTTTAGAGAGAACACCTGAGCAGGAAGAGGGGGAAAGGACAAAGGGGGAGAGAGAAGGAAAGGGAGAGAATCTCCAGCAGACTCCACACTAAGCACAGAGCCCAACGTGGGGCTCAGTCCCATGACCCTGAGAACGCAACCTGAGCTGAAACCCAGAGTCAGATACTTAACCAACTGAGCCAGACATCTATCTTCGTTTTCTTTTTTTTTTTTTTTTTTTTTTTTTTTAATTTATTTGACAGACAGAGGTCACAAGTAGGCAGAGAGGCAGGCAGAGAGAGAGAGGAAGGGAAGCAGGCTCCCTGCGGAGCAGAGAGCCCGATGCGGGGCTTGATCCCAGGACCCTGGGATCATGACCTGAGCCGAAGGCAGAGGCTTTAACCCACTGAGCCACCCAGGTGCCCCCTATCTTCGTTTTCTTGTAGTTCACTGAATTTCTTTAAGATTATTTTGAAGTCATTTGTTCATAGATTTATTTCTTTAGGGTCAGTCATTGAAGTTTTATAGGTTTTCTTTGGTGGTGTCACATGTCCTTGATTTTTCATGATCTTTGTGGCCCCATGCTGGTATCTGTGCATTTGAGAAACTAGGCACCTCTCCCCGTTTTTACAGGCTGACTTCAGTAGGCAAGGCCCTTTACCAGTCAATCCACCCAGTGATTCTGGATGAACAATCTGGTGATGTCTACAGCAGGCTTGCTGCTGGCGTCTTTAGGCAGTCTGTTGCTGACGTGGGTTGAATGCCTGGGTCTGTGGTAGTTAGTCTGGCACTGGGCCTGGAGGGACCCTGGGTTTACAGGCACTGATTGCAAGCTTGGAGGCATCTAGGGCTACAGGAGCTGGCTGGAATGTTCATGCGAGCTTGTCAGGAGTCTGATGCTATGGGAGCAACCCCAGGCCACAAGAGCCAGCTGATACTGGAATGGATTGGGGGCCTAGGTGTCTTGAGGCTTTCTGGAGCCTGGAGCTGCCTGGGGCCATTGGAGCTGGCTGGAACCAGCAGGCACCAGAGTGAGCCTGGGGCCTAGGTTTGTGGGAACCTGTGTTAGAGGAGCTGCCTGAAGCTGTGGGAGCCACTTGGGGATGCTGAGGCCATGGGTTAGTTGGGGGCCTGGGTTCATGGGAGCCCAGAGGGAGCCACCTTAGGGCCATGGGAGTTGGCATGGTGCTAGGGTGAGATGGCTCTGGAATCCCCTGTGAAGTTGGGTGCTTACTTCACTCTCCTCCCACAGGGAGGGTGTCTCTACACTGGGATGCCGGGACTTGGGGGCAGATGATAAGGGTAGTACAAACCTGTATTTCCTACCTTCCTCAATGCATCCGTTCTTATTTCTGTGATTCACCAAGGTAGTGTAATCCCTTATCTGGAATCCTTGGCTTTTGTGAAGGTAATTTCATGGGCAGATACTAGTTCATAATCGCTCTTTCTGTAGAAAAGTGCTAGAAATTCCTATGCCACCCCTTGTCCGACTCCAGTGATATTTTAGCAAGATGCGTTTTCCAGAGGGCTACAGAAGGAGCTAAAGCAGAGAGAGAACTGGGACCGTATAAAGGGCCCTGTAGAAGCAGAAGTATGTCCTACTTGGTGACTGTTCAGCTGTGGGAACAGAGTGGAGAGGGAGGGAGCGGGGATGGAAGTTTTGAGCTTCCATTAATGGAAACAGAAAAGTCAGGAGGAGGAGGTGCTGGCTGGACAGGAGGTGATAAGCTTGGTTATAGACACAGTGGTCTGGAGATGCCATCAGGATTTGGGTCTGGAGCTCAACAGTGACAGAATGATGGGGCACCTGGGTGGCTCAGTGGGTTAAAGGCTCTGCCTTCAGCTCAGGTCATGATCCCAGGATCCTGGGATCAAGCCCCACATCGGGCTTTCTGCTCAGCAGAGAGCCTGCTTCCTCCTCTCTCTCTGCCTGCCTCTCTTCCTGCTTGTGATCTCTGTCTGTCAAGTAAATAAATAAAATCTTAAAACAAAACAAAACAAACAAACAAAAAAAAAACAGTGACAGAATGACCCTGACCACACTTGTCAGCCAGGCTGAGGTCTTGCCGGTGACCAGACCTGACTCCACACGCACAGCAGGGGCCCCTGCCTCGGCCATGTCCCCTCAACTTCTGCTTTTCATGCCCCAGGTCCCCTGGATACAGACATGCAGCAGTTGGCCCGGGAGACCTCGATGGACCCAGACTTACGTAATAGGCTGCAGGACCTGAAGACAAAAGGGGAGCTCGTGGACTGTAAGATGTCAGCCCAGAAACTGCTAAGCTTGCTGCAAAAGGACACGTTCAAGTCTGGGGCCCATGTTGACTTCTACGATAAATAAGCCAATGTCCTTGGCTTCCTGGGGCTTTCTTTCCCCCTCTCTCAGGCATACCCAGGAGCTCTTTGTGACCCACCCCCCACAACCTGCCACAGGGGCACTGCCAACTCTGCCTTACCCACTTATACCTACTGTCCTGCCCTCAGATCCAGCTGTCAGTGAGGGCCTCGGGTCCCTGGAATCCCAGTTCTCAGGAGTCTGTTGGCTGCCGTGAGTTAGTGGGAGCTTGGGAGAGAGAAGTCATGGTGGTTGGTATTCTGTCTCCCCAGAAATTGAATTTTAGGGATGGGAAAAGCAGAACAAGATGCTGCAACCCTGAAGAGAAGAGGTTGGGGATCTCATGGCCAGTGTCTGGTTGGGCTGGTGTCAAATGGGAGGGCCCATGTAAAGTCACGGCCCACGGGGGAGGGAGGACGGTGCAAGTTCATCGCACAAGGATGCCCCATACTCACGGTAGCAGGACCTTGTGTTGAACTCCGTGTCCTCATTCTGATGCCTCCTCCCTCCGGAACGTACTGTCTGTCCCCCAGGTGGGAGGAAGGGGCCCCTGAGAGTTTATGTACAAGTAAAAAGCATATACAAATAAAATGTGGATTATCCTTTATTCACACCTGCCTTCTCCTCTGATACAGGGCCCATGACTGACTCCCAGCTTGCTGGGTCCAGAGATATTCCTTAAATGCAATTAACCCAAACTCGGGAAGTTACCTTTGTCTTGGGAAGGAACTTCTCTTGGGGTTGTCTACCTCTTCTCACAGAGCCCTACCCAGGGGCAAGCTCAGGTTCAGAGTTGGCCAAGATAGACCTGCCCAGATCCCTATGCTGACCCCAATCTTTATTACCCTTTCTTCATCCTTGACCTATTCAAAGAGTATTTAGGCTACAGGGCCTGACTCCCAGGCCTTCTTGGATTCCCAATTCTACCCTTTGCCCACATGGCAGTGTTCTGAATAGATCTCCTCAGGGGGCTGTCTGTCATGGGTCCTCCTGGTAAAGTCCATGTGGCACATGTTCCTGGTCCTCAGTGGGGTGGCCTTAGGACCAACCTGCGTTTGAGGGAGGCAGGCAATATTCCAAGAGAGGGAATCCCTAAGAAACCAGGTGTGTAACAAACCCATCCTTCCTCCCGTCAGCAGATTCAGCATAGCTGGGAGCTCCACAGTGGTGGGGGTCTACAGCCAGTCCAACAGCCCCTTGCCCCTGGGCCTTATTTAGGAGGAGGGAATATGGTCCCTGCTAGCTAACTTCCAGGAGTCCGCCCTGCCGCTGAGCCTGTAGGAGGGAACCCTTTGTTCCTTTTCTTGGCCAGCAGAGGGCGCACTGAGGCCGTTCCTCCAGGAGAACCCACGGCTGCTCAGCTCCAGACGCAGGCTCTGGGCGGGAACTGCCAATGTCCTGATAGGTTCCCTAGGAGGGAGCCAGCAATTCATGCTCTTTTGTTGCCCAGCAGAGCATTTGCTCTCACTGGAGTCAAAAGCCCTGCACGCCTATCCCTGCCCTGCCATTTGCCAGCTCGTCACCCAGCGTAAATTGTGTAAATTGCTTTTCTGCAGTATTTCGCTTTCCTTATCTAAGAAACGGTACCTCCCTCAGAGGGTCATTGGGAGCCATAAGCGACCTCATGTTTGCAAATGTTTAGCACAGTGCTGGCATTGCGGTAGGTGCCCAAGCTTTGGATAGTGTTGCTTTTTAATATCAAGGTCCAGCTCAACCTGGAGCCCCACACGCAGCCTGGAGGCCCTCCCCCTTGCTGACCTACAGCAAGAACTCTCACTCAGCTCCCCCTGCCTGGGGCCTCAGGGGGGCTGGAGTTCACGCTGGTCAGCTTGTTCTGGACTCGCCAGACCCATGGGGAAAGGCGTGCACCTGGAAGTCAGGAACCCTTGGTCTCACTTCCCTCTGTAATGTCTTTGCCCAGGGCCCTCTTCCCTCTGGGCTCCGTTTCCTCAGAGCAAAGAGCTCAGAGACTCCGTCCCGCAGGTGGGGCTGGGCCAGCTGGGGCTGCCCCCTCTGTCTGGTGAGTGTTGGGTGGGCCCCTGCTCCATCCGGAGTGTGAGACCCTCCGCGCCTGGCCGGTCAGGATTGTTTCCCTGTCCCCGCCAGGCTGGTTGGAGTACCACAAGTGCCCACCAGGGGGCGAGGCCTTCCCACGCTTGACACTTGTCCTCTTGGAGCCCAGGGATTTAAGAACCTTAGAAACAACCCCCTTCTTTCTTTCTCCCTGTACTCTAGGATTGAGAACTCTCAGGCAGTCCCCCAGGGGGCTGGGAAGGACCCAAGCTCTGGGATCAGGGGTCGCTCTTCCTAGCAGGCCCAAGGCCTCCTTATTGGCCCCGGGGCTCCGGCGCAAGAATTCTCCAGACCTTGGTCCTCCATCTCGCACCACTGCGGCCCAGGGATTTCCTGGGCAACCTCTGGGGGCTGACCATCTGTGTTCCCAGGCGTTGGCCACCACACACGTGAGCACACGCAGGCCCGTACACAGTACATGCCTGCACATCCCCCGCGTCCAGCGGCAGGGTCGAGCAGGGCCTCGGATTAGCCAAAAGACAAACAAGCTTTCTCTTTGTCTTGGACGCAAACGAGCCGGGCAGTTTTGGGGTTTTGTGTTTAATACCCTGAGCTGGAGGCCAGCAGCTGGCCTGTGAGGAGCAAGGGAGGGGATTCCAGGCCCACCCCCAGGGACATCCAGCACCTCTGTCCATGAACATGACCAGCTGGGACTAGACTGTTCAGGAGGGTCCTCCCTGCCCCACCCGCAATTCTTGTCCTTCATCCCCTGAATACAAGGCAGGCTGGAGCCTGTGTCCACTGTTAGCCAGGCCTGGAGGTGCCCAGGGTCTCCTACCTCCTCACTCAGAACAGCAACCAGGGACGCGCTCCATCCCAGCATCTCCCCGTCTCTCACTGGGGGTTGGGCTCCGGGATACTTCCTCAGGCCTCCTTCACCCACGGTCTTTCCCCCATGGAATATGGCCTTTTAGGCCAACATGTGTTTGCATAATTCACGCTCACGGATTCGGGTACACACTCCTGCTTATCAGGGTGCCCAGCTGTGTTCCGTCACCATCTGGGTCCTGTGTGATGACGGAGAAGGGAGTGGAGAGCACTTCCAGTCCCCCCGAGCGGAGATCCCACAGCAGAGATCCCTGATCCCCGTGTTTCCGGTGTTTCTCCAAGGAGTCACTAGGCAGTAGGCAGGGAAGAGTGCTGAGCTCTTCTGCCTGCAGGGTTGGGAGGCAGGGTAGAGGGAGGGCTGGATGTTCCCTCAGACTTTTAAATGGAGCCCACCTCCTTATTCTCACCCTAGAATGGTTGTTCCCTACCAGCCAGACTCCCTTTCCTCACCCTTTCCCATTTCATCCATCATGTACTCCCCCTTGGCCCTGATGGCCCTACCTGGGAACTGAGAGAGCACTGGATTTCTATTTTCAGGGAGAGTGTGGGGGAAAGGAGGAGAAGGAAGTTCTTCTTTTTCTCTGGAGGACCCACATCTCAGGCCCACCAGCTGACCCCAGTGGCTCAGCATGTTTCCAACCCGAAAGCTATCTGGTGGTCTCTTAGTCCTTGGGCATGTGTTCCCTGTCCCCAACCCAAGGGCAAGGGAAGAGAAGGGCCTGCCCCCCATTCCCCAGACCTGGTGTCTCCTCTTAGAGCTGCAGGAATCTCTCTGGCCCACACTCTGGCTCAGGTCTTAGTCCCACTCTTGCAGAGGCCTCTCCTGCCCCCTCCCCGTTCTTCTAAAGCCCAGCTTGACCCCAGTGATCAGGCCCAAAAAGCTGTGTGTATTCCGCAGACCTTACCCAGACCTAACCCAGTGAGGACCCATAGAGTGGGGAAAGGAATGAATGAATGAGTGAATGAATGTAGAGAGTGAGCAAGTAAGCCAGCCTGTGAACGCTGGAGTAGCTCACTGCCAGGTGTATAGTGAAGCCTTTGAAATGGCTCAGGTGTGATGACCTTGCCTGTGGGTCAGGTCTGCAGACAAACCCCCACCACCCCAGGCAGCCCTGTGTGGGGGGTTCAAACCCACCTTGGATTCCTCCTTGGAATCCCTAAAGGAAAGCCCAAATGTGTGTATTATGGAAGTGGATGAGTCTGTCCTGTGTCAGAATCACCTGGGCAGTTTAAAAAAAAAAAAAAAAAAGACTTTCCCATTGCTCCTTCTTCACCCCACATTCCAATTCACTGGATCTGGGTGTGTCCCCACAAGCACTAGAACATTAAAAAGTGAGCTGTGAGAAATGATTAATTCATTAATTTAGAAAGCGAGCTGTGAACCTTGCAAACCCAGGTGGTATTAGCAGAGATCAAAGAAGGCAGCTGCTCAGGGAAAGGAAGTTCAGCGAACAGAGTTTCAGGGTTAGGGGTTGGGGCTAGTCTGAGGTCAGAATTAAGGATCAGTATACGGCCAGGGTCAGGGTCACTGTGAGTCCAGATTTGGGGTCAGGACAGGGTCAGGGCTAGGTTCAGTCTGTGTTGGGGGCTGGGAATATAGAGAGGGAAACAATTTTGGAATATTTGGGGAGGCAAAAGAGGCCTGAGCTCCTGGCTTTGAAAATATTGATTTGCATATAAATGATGAGTGTCAGGGTGAGCTAGTTCATTAGGAAAAGAGAGACAGGGCCTGAAGACCAAGGTTGGGGGGCTGCTCTCTCCAGCCCAGGATAGCCCCAGATCTGCCCACCCTGTCCCGCTGGGCAGGAGCCCTGTGCACAGGGCAGGGACATTATCTGGAACAAAATGGGCTTTCTTTAATGGTCCCTCCTTGTGGCCAGCCTGGGTGGCACGCGAAAAGGAGCCGGGGCAAACCGAAGAAGTTGAGCAGTGGGGAGTCTCCTCTCCTCTCTGGAGAAGACACAACAGGGCACAGCGAGACTGAGGTAGGGTGAGCAGGACCGCGAAGGGAAGCCAAGCAACACGGGGAGAAACACAGACAGAGACAGAAAGACTTGAAAATGTAGTAAGACAGATTTAGATGGAGGGAGAGAGATTGAGAGAAGCCACACACTCACACACACTCATCTGCTCGCGCTCATACACACACTCACACACGCTGGGGCGTGCGCTCACGTAGCCACCCTGAGTCTTACTGGAAATAATCCCACTCGCGACGGCAGGGCCTCAGCTGCACAGGCGGTGCCGAGCTGTTACCTTGCACATCTGTCAGCTCCAAATGTAGAAGCTGTCATAGGGGTGTGTGTGTGTGTGAGAGAGAGAGTGTGTGTGTGTGAGAGTGCATGTGTGCGTGCCTGTTTCTCCCAGAGAGTTCTGAGGGCTGACTTACCCTCATAGAGGGAGATCCCCAAGGACCCAGAGGCTCTCCAGCAGGGCTGCGTTCCTTCCCATCCTGCCCAGGGAGAAGCCGGCGCGCCACCCAGCTTTAGGACATAGCCCCCTGGACTTGGCTTCTGTGGCCTGGTTTGGCCACCTACACCCATGAGGTCCCAGGCAATCAAAGCAGCTGGGTCTCCTCCTCTGTCAGGTGGGCTGGTAAAGTAGCCAAGCCCTCTGGATCCCGGAGGGGCCGAGA